AGGGGGATCCCAAAAATGTGGGGTTTGAACCCAAAATGTGCCCAGGGAAGGGGGGGAGGGACACCAAAATGGCGCCTGGGCTGTTGGAACAAGGGGATTTGAAGTGGGGCCAAAAGAGGAGCTCAAAGTGCTCCTAAAATGGACCCAAAGCCCTCAAATTGACCCCAAACCACCCCTAAACGCCACCCAATCCCAAAGTGTCCCACAGGTCCTGAAAGTGTTCCCAAATCCCACCCTGAACTATCCCAAACACCCCAAAACCCCCTCAAAGTGTCCCCAAACACCCTCAAAGTGTCCCCAAACACCCTCAAAATGTCCCCAAATCCACCCTAAACTATCCCAAACTCTCCAAAACCCCCTCAGTGTCCCCAAAGCCCCTCAAGCTGTCCCCAAACCGCCTCAGATTGTCCCCAAACACCCCTAAACTGTCCCCAAACCCCTCAAACTGTCCCCAAATCCACTCTAAACTATCCCAAACACCCCCAAATCCCCTTGAAGTGTCCCCAAACCCCTCAAAGTGTCCCCAAAGCCCCTCAAAGTGTCCCCAAAGCCCCCCAGAGCCGTTACCTGTGTCCATGGGCTCGGGCACCTCGATGGCCGGCACGGGCGTTCCCGGCCGCTCCGTGTCCATGGGCTCTGCGGCCGCCGGCTCCGGTGACGACGGTTTGGCCGCGCTGGGCTCCGGCGCCGGCTTCCCCTCGAAGGGGCTGGGCTGGGGAGGCAGCAGGGGGGTTAAAACGGGGAGGTTTTACCCCAAAATGATGCCCAAAGTGGTCCTAAAATGGATCCTGAAATGGCCTCAAAATGGCTCCAAAATGTCCCCAAAATGTCCCTCAAAATGGCCTCAAAATGTTCCTCAAAATGGGCCCAAAATGTTCCTCAAAATGGGCCCAAAATGGCCTAAAAATGGGCCCAAAATGTCCTTCAAAATGGTATCAAAATGTGTCTCAAAATGGTATCAAAATGGGCCCAAAATGTCTCTCAAAATGGGCCTAAAATGACCTCAAAATGGGCCCAAAATGTCCCTCAAAACGGGCCCAAAATGTCTCTCAAAATGGCCCTCAAGGTATCCCTCAAAATGTCTCCAAATTGTCCCTCAAAATGTTCCTCAAAATGGCACCCAAAAATGTCCCTCAAAATGTTCCTCAAAATGGCCTCAAAATGTCCCTCAAAATGTTCCTCAAAATGGCCTCAAAATGTCCCTCAAAATGGGCCCAAAATGGCCTCAAAATGGGCCCAAAATGGCCTCAAAATGGGCCCAAAATGTTCCTCAAAATGGGCCCAAAATGTTCCTCAAAATGGGCCCAAATTGTCCCTCAAAATGGGCCCAAAATGTTCCTCAAAACGGCCCTGAAAATGTCCCTCAAAGTGGGTCTAAAATAGCCTCAAAATGTCTCCAAATTGTTCCTCAAAATGGCCTCAAAATGTTCCTCAAAATGTCCCTCAAAATGTCCCTCAAAATGTTCCTCAAAATGGGCCCAAAATGTCCCTCAAAATTGCACCCAAAAATGTCCCTCAAAATGGCCCCAAAATGGCCCCAAATGTCCCTCAAAATGTCCCTCAAAATGGGCCCAAAATGTCCCTCAAAATGCCCTCAAATTGTTTCTCAAAATGGGCCCAAAATGTCCCTCAAAATGTCCCTCAAGGTGTCCCTCAAAATGTCCCTCAAAATGGGCCCAAAATGGCCTCAAAATGGGCCCAAAATGTCCCCAAAATGGCCTCAAAATGGGCCCAAAATGTCCCTCAAAATGTCCCCAAAATGTTCCTCAAAATGGGCCCAAAATGTCCCTCAAAATGGCACCCAAAAATGTCCGTCAAAATGAGCCCAAAATGTCCCTCAAAATGGGCCCAAAATGGCCTCAAAATGTCCCTCAAAATGTCCCCAAAATGGCCTTAAAAGGGCCTCAAAAGGGCCTCAAAATGGGCCCAAAATGGCACCCAAAAATGTCCTTCAAAATGAGCCCAAAATGTCCCTCAAAATGGGCCAAAAATGGCCTCAAAATGGGCCCAAAATGTCCCCAAAATATCCCTCAAAATGGGCCCAAAATGTCCCTCAAAATGTCCCCAAAATGTCCCCAAAATGGCCTCAAAAGGGCCTCAAAAGGGGCCCAAAATGGCACCCAAAAATGTCCCTCAAAATGAGCCCAAAATGTCCCTCAAAACGGGCCTCAAAATGTCCCCAAATTGTCCCTCAAAATGGGCCCAAAATGGCCTCAAAATGGGCCCAAAATGGCCTCAAAATGGCCTCAAATGTCCCCAAAATGTCCCCAAATGTCCCCAAATGTCCCCAAGACGTCGCTCACCTTGGCTGCCGTCGGGGACAGAACTTTTTTCTTTTTCTTGATCTTGATGCCGGGGACGGGCGCGGAGTTGAGGGCGTCCAGGAAGCCGAGGCCTTCCATGGCTGAGGAGAGCACGGAGGGGTCACCAAAACCCCCCAAATTCACCCCAAAACGGGTCCCAAACCTGCCTCAAAACGGGCCTAAAAGGGATCCCAAATCCACCACAAAATGGCTCTGAAAGTGTCACCTGGAAAGGTCCCAAATATCGCCTGAATTGGCACCAAAATGACTCAAAAACGGTACCAAAATGATCAAAAAATGGCACCAAAATGACCCAGAAATGGTACCAAAATGATCAAAAAATGGCACCAAAATGACCCAGAAATGGTACCAAAATTATCAAAAAAATGGTATCCAAATGACCCAAAAATGGCACCAAAATGACCCAGAAATGGAACCAGAATTATCAAAAAATGGCACCAAAATGACTCAAAAATGGTACCAAAATGATCAAAAAATGGCACCAAAATGACCCAAAAATGGCACCAAAATGATCAAAAAAATGGGACAAAAATGACCCAAAAATGGCACCAAAATTATCAAAAAAATGATACTGAAATGACCCTAAAAATGGTATCGAAATGACTAAAAAATGGTACCAAAATCACCCAAAAATGGCACCAAAATTATCAAAAAAATGATACCGAAATGACCCAAAATATTGGTATCGAAATAACCCAAAATGGCACCAAAATGACCCAAAAATGGTACCAAAATTATCAAAAAATGGCACCAAAATGACCCAAAAACGGTACGAAAATTACAAAAAATGGCACCAAAATGACCCAGAAATGGCACCAAAATGACCCAGAAATGGCACCAAAATTATCAAAAAATGGCTCCAAAATGACCCAAAAATGGCACCAAAATGACCCAAAAATGGCACCAAAATTATCAAAAAAATGATATTGAAATGACCCTAAATATTGGTATCGAAATGACCCAAAAATGGTACCAAAATGATCCAAAAAATGGTATCCAAATGACCCAAAAATGCACCAAAATGACCAAAAAATGGCACCAAAATGACCAAAAAATGGCACCAAAATGACCAAAAAATGGCACCAAAATGATCCAAAAAATGGCACCAAAATCACCCAAAATGGTACAAAAATTATCAAAATACGGCACCAAAATTACCAAAAATTGCACCAAAATGACCCCAAAAATGGTACCAAAATTATCAAAAAATGGTATTGAAATGAGCCCCAAAATGGCACCAAAATGACCCAAAAATGGCACCAAAATGACCCAAAATTGCACCAAAATGACCCCAAAAATGGCACTGGAATGAAACCTCAAAATGACCCCAAAATGAGCCCCAAAATGACCCCAAAATGAGCCAAAAAGGCCGGAAATGGCCCCAAACTCACGCTGTGGGGGGATGATTTTCACTTTGATCTCCTTGGCCCCAAAATGAGCCAAAAAGGCCGGAAATGGCCCCAAACTCACGCTGTGGGGGGATGATTTTCACTTTGATCTCCTTGGCCGCATTCGGGGCCGTGTTCAGGGGTTTGTATTTCTTCTCTGCCAGAGGAGCCTCCCCGGGGGCTGTCGGGGCGCTGGGGGGACAAAAAAGGGTCAAAACTACCCCAAAATCACCCCAAAACCACCACAAAATCACTGCCCAAATCCCCCCAAAATCATCCCAAAATCCCCCCAAAACCACCACAAAATCACTGCCCAAATCCCCCCAAAATCACCCCAAAGTTGCCCCCAAAACCACCCCAAAATCCCTTAAAAAAACACCCCAAAATCCCCAAAAAAACACCCCAAAATCCCCAAAAAAACACCCCAAAATGGCCCCAAAATGCCCCAAAATGGCTCAGAGACCCCAAAAATGGCCCCAAAATGGCCCTGAGACCCCCAAAATGTCCCCAAATCCCCCCAAAAATGGCCCAGAGACCCGAAAATGGTCACCAAAATGGGCCTGAGACACAAAAACAGCCACAAAATGTCCACAAAACAGCCCAGACCCCAAAAATGTCCCCAAATCGCCCCAAAATGGCCCAGAGACCCCCAAATTTCCCCAAATCCCCCCAAAAATGGCCTTGAGACCCCCAAAATGGGCCTGAGACCCAAAAACAGCCACAAAATGTCCACAAAACAGCCCAGACCCCAAAAATGTCCCCAAATCCCCCCAAAATGGCCCAGAGACCCCCAACATGTCCCCAAATCCCCCCAAAATGGCCTTGAGACCCCCAAAATGTCCCCAAATCCCCCCAAAAACAGCCCAGAGACCCCCAAAATGTCCCCAAATCCCCCCAAAAATGGCCCAGAGACCCCAAAATGGTCCCCAAAATGGGCCTGAGACCCAAAAACAGCCACAAAATGTCCACAAAACAGCCCAGACCCCAAAAATGT